CAGGAACCTCAGATCACCCCTGCCGAGCTTAAGTTCACATGATGAAGAATGTGGATCTCATGTTGGGGGCAGGGGGATGACAGGCACCAAGCACTCAGCAAGTGGGTGCCCGAGATGCAACTCAGGCCTCCTGACTCCAAATCCCCCGCCTTTTCCCTGACATCGTGCAATGTCACCGATGCCTTACCCATTTCCAGTTATTACCCAGGGCCTCATGAAGCACAATGCAGAGGGCCGAATTCAGAACATCTGCCTCCTGGACAGTCTGAATAACTCAAAGCAGGTGACTGCAGGGATGGTGGCCTGGCTAATCGGTGGTAGCATGAGCCTCCAGCAGCAGCAAGAAGGCAGGTGAGACCCTGAACCCCATCCCTGGCCCTGGGACTCTTTATAGAGCTATGGGTCAGAAGGCTGGGCTAGAGAATGGAAGTGCAAGGACTGGGACGAGGGAAGGAGATGTAAGGCCCAATAGAAGGATGACCAGGATGGAGTGGGGGTATTTGGGAAGGCAGCACAGCAGAGTAATTAAAAGTGAAGGCTTGGGAGTAAACGTTTCCTCATTTAAACCCTGGCTCTGCCATCAACCTTGGGGAAATTACTGGACCATTCTGGCCTCATCTATAACCCTGGTACCCAGAGCACAGCCTGGATAAACATCTGGGGTGCCAAAGGAACCGAGGACTAGAGTCAGACATCTGAACCCCATTCTATTGCCTGATAGCTGTGTGACTCTGGGCAAGGCATTTGAGCTCTCTAAGCTTCAGCCTTGAGTCCTCATCAATGAAATGGGCAGAATAATTGTCCCTGCCACTGGAAGTTTTGGGAAGTTTTCTCTGCTGCACATGGTGGATGCCTAGCCATCAGTAGCTACAAGTAAACTCACAGAACTGGGCCTGTCCTGCTCACCTCCATTTTCACGCCTTCCTCTTGACGGATGCAAGCCTCCCCAGCTTCCCAGTCTCAAAGATGCTCACATACACCTGCTGTGCCTGGAGCTCCCTTCTCTCTGCCTCGAATCCCTCATTCTCTCCATTTTAATGAGCACCAATACTCCCCAGCAGGGTTTTTCTTGATGGGCACAGCCATGATCACTTCCCTTCACCCATTCCTTAAACAATTGTTACAAATATTCATTGAGCACCTACTATGTACCAGGACCTAGGCTAGGTACTGAGAATACACCTATAAACCAGACATATAGTCACTGCCTTTTGGGATCTAAATCTTAGTTAGTGAGATAAGCCACAAAAGTAAATAACTAATTTCAGGTGAAAGAAGATGTGGAGAAGACAAATATATCAAGGTGAAGGGTGAGAGTGAGGGAGCTGATCAGGAGGATCTGTCTATAG